CACCAGAACCCCGAACTTTATTGTCCCCCGGTGTTTATTATCGCCGGCGCAGGATTCATCCCTTCAGCTCAAGAGCCCTCGCCACAGCCCGCGCAGGCGGCGCCTCTCGGCAGGCGCGCCCGTGCATCCGCAGCGGTGGCCGCGCCTCCCGCGGGTGGGAGGGCTGCGCCACGGGATGAATTCTCCGCGGCGTGCGTCGTGGTCGAGCATCGTTCAGGACGCGTTGTTCGAGCTGAACAACAAGGTGGCTGAAGTGGCAGCGGAACAGCAGGCGATTAACAAGAGGATGGACGAGGTCGTCAATCAGATGGATGTCCAGTTCAAGGATTGGCTAACCAAGACCCAGGTTGCGGACGCCGAACTGCGGGCGCGGTTGGAGGAGGTGGAGAAAAGCCACCACCACGGCCGCCACCACCATTCGGAGTGGGGGTGGTTGTCGTTGTCGCAGCGCTTCTCCGGCGCACAGAAGGACATGGATGGCAACGAAGTTACCTTCGAGGCCGATGGCGGCGATCGGGACGAGAATCGCGAGCAGTCTGGTCTGGACGGGGACGGACAGCTACAAGTGAAGACAAGCGTGTCGATGCGTCGCGAGTATTTGTCAGCAGTGATGCTCGATTGCGGCGACATGTACGAGTTGAACGAGTCAGTTTGGGACGTCTTGGTGTTCGCGGGTCACCCAGCAATCGGCAGTCTGAATACATGTGTCTTGTGGGGAATATATTTCCTAAATTTGGCATTGCAATGCTTGTTCATATTCTTGGTTCAATACCTCTTGATGGAAAAGGTGATCTCCCCACAAAATCTCGACGGCCTCCTCAAGTTTAGATTCCTCTCGCTTCGCGGGGTGCACGTCCGGAACACGTGCACTCCAGACGCTGTGGGACCTGCAGGGAGCCTCTTTGGGGCCTCTCGGAGGCCTCTTGTAGGCTTCTTGGGGCCTTTGGGTTTTTTTGGGGGGGCCTTTTGGGCCTCTTGGAGGCGTCTTGGGCCGACTTGCGGCGCTCTTGCGCCGTTTGGCTCCTTCGGAGGCCATCCCCTCTCGCGGCCGCCTGAGGGCTTGCTTGGGGTCCTCTTGGGCCGTTTTGGGTGCCTTTTGGACCGTCCTGGGGCCTCTTTGGGCCGTCTTGGGGCCCTCTTGGGCCGTCTTGGGGTCCTCTTGGGGGCCTGTGGGGCCATCCTGAGACCATTTTGGAGGCTGCTTGGGCCGTCATGGACCTTTCAGGGTAGAAAAAGACTGGAACGCTAAGACCCTTTCAAACATCGAAGGAACAAACAATTGATTATCCTGGCGGAAGACCCAACCATTCGCAATTGTGAATACCGCGTTGTGGGCACCGCTTTCGGTGGAGCTCCATATGGGGCCACGAACCGTCTCAGGGGTGTGCCGAAATGGGTGGCGGTCCCCGCATGCGGACCTTGCCGTTGGGGCCTTCGGTGGAGCTCCCTGCGGGGCCACGAACCGTGCGAGGGGTGTGCCAGAATGCGCGGCGGTCCCGGCATGCGGACCTTGCCGTTGGGGCCTTTCGGTGGAGCTCCCTGTGGGGCCACGAACCGTGTGAGGGGTGTGCCTACACGGGTGGCGGTCCCCGCATGCGGACCCTGCCGCTGGGGCCGTCGGTGGAGCTCCCTGTGGGGCCACGAACATCCACGAACCGTGTGAGGGGTGTGCCTACACGGGTGGCGGTCCCCGCATGCGGACCCTGCCGCTGGGGCCGTCGGTGGAGCTCCCTGTGGGGCCACCAACCGTGTGAGGGGTGTGCCGAAATGGGTGGCGGTCCCCGCAGGTCACTGGGGCCTTCGGTTGAGCTCCCTGTGGGGCCACGAACCGTGTGAGGGGTGTGCCGAAATGGGCGGCGGTCCCCGCATGCGGACCCTGCCGCTGGGGCCGTCGGTGGAGCTCCCTGTGGGGCCACGAACCGTGTGAGGGGTGTGCCGAAATGGGTGGCGGTCCCCGCAGGTCACTGGGGCCTTCGGTGGAGCTCCCTGTGGGGCCACGAACCGTGTGAGGGGTATGCCTACACGGGTGGCGGTCCCCGCATGCGGACCCTGCCGCTGGGGCCGTCGGTGGAGCTCCCTGTGGGGCCACGAACATCCACGAACCGTGTGAGGGGTGTGCCTACACGGGTGGCGGTCCCCGTCTGCGGACCCTGCCGCTGGGGCCTTCGGTGGAGCTCCCTTTGGGGCCACGAACCGTGCGAGGGGTGTGCCGAAATGGGTGGCGGTCCCCGCATGCGGACCCTGCCGCTGGGGCCTTTCGGTGGAGCTCCCTGTGGGGCCACGAACCGTGTGAGGGGTGTGCCTACACGGGTGGCGGTCCCCGCATGCGGACCCTGCCGCTGGGGCCTTCGGTGGAGCTCCTTTTGGGGCCACGAACCGTGTGAGGGGTGTGCCGAAATGGGTGGCGGTCCCCGCATGCGGACCCTGCCGTTGGGGCCTTCGGTGGAGCTCCCTGTGGGGCCACGAACCGTGCGAGGGGTGTGCAAGAATGCGTGGCGGTCCCGGCATGCGGACCTTGCCGTTGGGGCCTTTCGGTGGAGCTCCCTGTGGGGCCTCGAACCGTGTGAGGGGTGTGCCGAAATGGGTGGCGGTCCCCGCATGCGGACCCTGCCGCTGGGACCTTCGGTGGAGCTCCCTGTGGGGCCACGAACCGTGTGAGAGGTGTGCCGAAATGGGCGGCGGTCCCCGCATGCGGACCTTGCCGTTGGGGCCTTCGGTGGAGCTCCCTGTGGGGCCACGAACCGTGCGAGGGGTGTGCAAGAATGCGTGGCGGTCCCGGCATGCGGACCTTGCCGTTGGGGCCTTTCGGTGGAGCTCCCTGTGGGGCCTCGAACCGTGTGAGGGGTGTGCCGAAATGGGTGGCGGTCCCCGCATGCGGACCCTGCCGCTGGGACCTTCGGTGGAGCTCCCTGTGGGGCCACGAACCGTGTGAGAGGTGTGCCGAAATGGGCGGCGGTCCCCGCATGCGGACCTTGCCGTTGGGGCCTTCGGTGGAGCTCCCTGTGGGGCCACGAACCGTGCGAGGGGTGTGCAAGAATGCGTGGCGGTCCCGGCATGCGGACCTTGCCGTTGGGGCCTTTCGGTGGAGCTCCCTGTGGGGCCTCGAACCGTGTGAGGGGTGTGCCGAAATGGGTGGCGGTCCCCGCATGCGGACCCTGCCGCTGGGGCCTTCGGTGGAGCTCCCTGTGGGGCCACGAACCGTGTGAAGGGTCGCCATGTGGACCCTGCCACTGGGGCCGTCGGTGGAGCTCCGTATGGGGCCACGAGACGTGTGAGGGGTGCGCCGAATCGGGCGCGGGTACGCCATGTGGACCCTGCAGCTGGGGCCTTCGGTGGAGCTCCCTGTGGGGCCACGAAACGTGTGAGGGGTGTGCCGAATCGGGTGCGGGCACGCCGTGTGGACCCTGCCGCTGGTGCCTTCGGTGGAGCTCCGTATGGGGCCACGACACGTGTGAGGGGTGCGCCGAATCGGGTGCGGGTACGCCATGTGGACCCCGCCGCTGGGGCCTTCGGTGGGGCCCCCTATGGGGCCACTGTGAGGGATCCCTGGAATTCGAATTTTAAGCCCCCGTGTACATGACACGCTGCAGAGTAGCATCAGAGGAGAACAGTGGCATGTCGCATAGCACTTGTTGTACAATGCCCGATTGTATATCCGACTCGTACCGAACTGCATTGTATAGTTATATATGGAATGTTCCTACACTCTGGACCGCCTGGTTCTCTGATTCCGAGTGCTGGAGGCCTTGAGCGTCTTCAGCCGCCGCTGGGAGAGAGACCGCCGCTGCGACAGAAGCTTCCAAGGAGTGCACAAAGTGCACTCTGAAGGTAACTGCGCTTCAACTCATCTTTATACATATTGTATAGTATATCCATTTTCAAGGCGCAGGTCACGTAACGCTCACGCTTACCATCCGTAACTGTGATGGCTCATGTTCAGCGGCTGGCGGGCACGCCGGCCGAGCTAGCGCGCGAGCCCCGCTCGCTTTAACTCAGTGGCCACACTGGCAACTTTTGCGTTCACACACACACACATATATATATATATGTATACAAGACTGCATTGGCGCTGCGCGCCATGCACCTTGGTCCTTTGGCATTCGCACGCTAGCGGAGTGCGAGCGTGCGTACATGCGCACACACATGCGTCTATGAATGCATAGTACATATGTACAAATATGTGTACGTTTGTATGGATATGTACATGTATATGCATATTATCCGTGTAACTAGGTGTGCGCATACACATGCGTATATCAGGCGGTAGTGGCCTGACCAGGTGCTCATATCATCGCGCCACTATAAGGCGCGAGGGTCTCAGGCAAACGTGGTCAGACTACCGTGGGACAGTGCGTCGCCGAGGTCAGTGTTGCCAGGACGTCCCGGGTGAAAATGGCCTGAACACCTCCGCTCAGGGGAGGGCATCTCCGAAGTCAGCTGGGCGAGGAAGTTTCAAGCGAGGAGTGGTCTGAACACCTCTGCTCAGGGCATCCCTGAACTTAGACTTGCGTGAAGTCGCACGCGAAAGTGCTCCTCGTTCTATTTGTCCTCGTATTCTCCTGTGCCCGTTTCTTTCCCACCCTTCCTCCTGCTTCTCCTCCTGTTTCTCCTCCTCAGTCCTGTGCCGATTGAGCTGAACCGGTATAGCTTGAGAGGATGAGGGGAAGGAGGAGGAGGAGGAGGAGGACTGGACTGGACTGGAACTCCGGGAATCCACTGAGGTCACACAACGTGAGAGCCAGGCATCGCCGACTCCGATCGTACAAATGTGCTGGATTCTGAGACGCACTGTATGCCACTAGCCTGACACACGGCCCAGCTCCGCGCTCTGCGGAGCAGCACTGGCCCTGGCCGCGCACCAGCGCGCGGGCACGCAGCCCTGCTGGGTGGGCATTCAGGCACGGGACGAGTCTTCTCCCCTCCCCCGACCCCCCGACACCCGACTGGACGACGCCCGCCCCCTCCCTCTATTAAAGCCTCTCAAGTGAGGCGGAAGAACTACGACTGGTACTGTTGGCAGCTCTGGCTGACTGTAGCTGGGCACTGCGCGTGCATTCGCCCCCACGGAACGGGCCCGCAAGGCCTCGAGGGGGGCATTCTGATTCACAATACCTCTAGCTACGAGCTGCTGGAATCTGAGACTAGATTGCATTCGGCCTACTTGCGATCGCTCCCGATCAGTGATGATACTTCTCGATCCAGTGGCCCCCTCGGGGCTGGCCCTGGAAGGTACACCCCCCCCTCCGCGATCACGAGCTTTTCGAAGAGCGTCGCCATCATCTGGCCCAGCTCTACATCCCGATGGAACGTCATATAGATAACCCCTTTCTGGGGGGTGCCCTCCTCCTTGCGAAAGATCCTCAACCGAAAGTACGGGCACGCCTTCGCCACCGTCAGCATCTCTCCCTGCCTGATGATCCCCCACATCTCCACCATCCTCTTCTTGAGCTCCTCCTGCTCGTGCTGCTGGGGGCCCGCCGACGGCGTGAACGCCGCTCCGTAGTATGCCGCGCCCATGACGATGGACACATGTGGTGGGCCCCTCTTGCGGAAGTCCACCTTCTCGCCGCTCTTGGTCTTCTCCCTGAGCTCCTTCGACTCCTGGTCGTACTCGCGCCCCGCCTGCTGGCACGCCGCCACTAGGCCGCCCGACGCCAGCACCTCGTACTTGAGAAACACGGCGGACGACAGGTCGGCGAGCTCGCGGGACATCACGAGGACGAGCTTGCTCGTCGCCTGCTGGAGCCGCTCCTGCTTGTTGCCCCCGCCGCTGTGGTTGGAGCGGTCGCCCACCCCGCCCTTCTTGCCGCCGCCGCCCCCCTCGATCTCCGCCCCCCTCTTGCCTGGCTGCTTGAACCAGGAGGGCATCAGCACGTCTCCCGATCCCGATCCGCTCGCCGCCGCGGCCGCCGCTGCTCCCTCTGGCATGTTCCTGTGAAGGGTGAAGTGCGGGAAGCTGGAAAGGAAGATGACCACACAAGTGGTCGCACAGCTGCAAGAGGTTCGAGCCCTCGTACGGACATAGGGGACATGCCAGGGATGTTGGGGCCGTCGCAGTAGACTTTAATGTTGAAGGCCCCCGTGTTTCACAACTTCCCCTGGCTAACGAACCCTGTAGGTGCCGAGCTGCGTTAGACCTGCTGCCAAATATTTGCGTACAGTTAATGCAGGTGTTGCTCGGGGTAGTCTGGTGGCATAGATTGTGAAGACCGTGAACCCGACGTAAGTGGTTCATGAAATCACGCCTCGTGTAGAAGGTCGCCTCACATATATGTCCTGCCTCCAAAGACATGCCACATGCCAGCCGGAACTCCTCCTCCATGACCTCCGCCTCCTCATTGTTCTGGGTTGAGATCTTTACATGGTCTAAAATATTTAAGAACATGTCCATATTGTTGCCATCTCCTTGTCCATTTCCTCCTCCTCCAGGTGGCGGTATATGTGTAGAGTAGACCTTAGCCCTGAGCTCAGAGAAATCCAACGCGACAAACTCCGAGGCCTTCTCGACATCCCCCAAGATCTCCAAATCATCAACCAGTTCATCAAGGGCACAACTATCCAGGACAGCGGCTGCCTCCACGATGTCGGAATGAAACTGTCTTACCCACGGAGACGCGAAGCCAGTAGGACGGCCATTGGACAGTTGCGGACGATCGATGTTCATGGGAGTAGAACCGAACAGGCAGCACAAGACCTGGGAGTTGTGGGCTGGGTCCTTCGCCCACGACTGGTACATCCCTAATCTCCTCGTCCGAAGCTCGATCACACTGGGGGTAAGACGCCAGTACGCCAGCACCTGCTCCGTAGTCAAGCTCCTGACATGGTCAGATGATCTGGCCTGCGCAACCTCCGTCGCCGTCGACGCCTTCCCCATCATAGCGATGCGGCCAAGAGCAGCACGCCCCCTGTCAAGACGAATGTAATCGTTAGCCGATAGTACCAAGGCCTCTAGTCCGTTAAGTAAGGTATTCTGACCAAAGCCCATTAGTAACAGACGTTTCCACCGATAAGGGAGGCGAAGTGACCAACTACCCCCCAGGCTGTGGAATGCTACACGCGAAGCCTGCAGCCGACGAGTGATTTCATGAGCCGCAGAATCTCTTAATACAATATGGGGTCCCAGGTACCTCGCCTCATCCTTGCACGCACCCTGTAGTGGCTTGGTAGAACGAAGTAGGCGGCGGCAATTGTGACCGTTCTGGCTGAAGTGAAATATAAACTCTTGCTTGCTGGCATTTTGTCCGTATCCGAAGGGAGCAAGACGAGCGTCCAGGGAATCGTCGACCGACCGAAGTTTAGCCATGAACTCCCCGAAACTGCTTCCCTCATCAGCCAGAACGATGTTGTTGAGGTCGTCGGCAAATTTCAAGAGCGATAGATCAACTCGAAGAGGACCCCAGGAAGCGATCAAGTCTTTAGCCGAATTATCCCATCTCATAAGGTCGTAGCTCCACCCCACCACTGGACGTTTAAAAGTAGCGAGGAACATCCGAACCATGAACGGGTCGCCCATCATCCCCCCCTGGCGCGGTCGGACAACCACCCCTTCTGTATGAGAGGGCAAGACGATGTGAGCGTTCTCGAAGCGCTGGGTGCACAAGGGGGCATCCTGGTCCGAGGCGTGCAAGTTGACTGAGACTGACATGGACTCATATGTGCTGCTGCCAAAGGCGTTGCTAAGGTCCTTAAGGCAAATACTGTGCGTACGCCCTGCCATGCGAAGCCGCCACGATGTGTTGAGGGATATTAACACCGCCGCCTCCCTCCTCCGTCCTTGAACGAACCCGCGATCAGCAGGAGTAGGAGAAGAAGCAAGTTTCTTAGAGAAGAATCCTTTACCAACCGTAGGAAGTACATGCACGACCCGTCGCCCCCGTGGACCCGCAAGCTGGTTCTTCAATGAAGCGGCCCCCTCACTCAGGTGCCCGTACAGCGGTGTGACCCCGTAGTGGCGTATTTTTGAGAATCCCACATGCAAGAGGAACCAGAACGTCTTTACCTGGGCGGGCTGATCAGCGCACCCGAGACCGTGGCGAGCCTGCACACGCCACCTGGGAAAGAGAAGCATATGCCACAATTCAGCTGGTGCTGTTCCCGTCGGAACCGGCGTAGGTCCTGGACATCCTGCTTAGCAAGGGCGGCAAGGTCGGGGTCGTCGAAGACAAACTGGTAACCTGCAGCCTCCTCCCTACTGGACCTCCACGCCTCCCAATCCGCCTCCTCCACCAACATACCTCCTTCACTCCCTGGACGACTCCACACATCCAGCCACGCTTCTTTAGAGGGAGGGGCACAGCCTGCGAGCCGACCGCCCCGTCGCTTGGGACCGTACCTGCAGCGGGCCGCTCTGCGCGAGGCCACCATGGCCTCCGCTGTGCGCCTCTTCCCCCAATGCTCCGCGGCTTCCGTAAGGAGTTCATTCTGCAGACGTCGGAGGTGTTGCCTACGCTCTTTTTGGAGGGTATGGGAGAGGTGTTTGAGCTTCTGATCTATCAAGAGGACCTGCTCGGATGATGCCCCCAACTTCTCACCCCTTATTTGTACCCGCCTACGAAGTAGTTCGCGTCGCCTAGCACAATCCTGGCTATACCCAGGTCGAACTTTCCGAGAACCAGTAAAATGCTTCGCACCCGCCGAAATAATCGATGACTCCAGCTGCTCAAAGATCTCATCAGGGGAGGCCCAGTCCCTAAGGTGTAAGATAGAAACCTTCTTCAGCTCCTCCACCACCTCCTCCAGGAACTCCCACCTGCCCTCCCCATTCCGTAAGCTAATCATCATACGATCTCTCTCCCATTGATGATGTTCCTGATGCGGCTGCTTCGGAATACCCCCCTTGTTGTAGGTCAAGCTTAGTATAAGGGGTAAGTGGTCACGTGGAGCTGGCCCACGGATGGGCTGCAACTTCGCTCCAAGCCGTCGGAGAGTGGCAGGACACAATCAGGGACGACATATCCATCGGGATGCACAGGTAGTCAATACGTCTGGACCCCTTCTCAGAGAAATATGTGTCTTCCACCATAGTGGTCGCGTTGGCCACCATCAGGTGGTGCTTCTCCAACACTAGCCGAAGCCTGTGTCCAGCTCCGTTGTAGATACGCTCACGAGTGGGTGAACCGACGTGCTGTGATGATACCGAGCGCCAGCTTCCTCCTACCCACCCACCCCCTATACCATCGTTCATGTCAGTAAAGATAAGAGGAGTGCAACGTACAGGTAGCTCACTTAGTAATTGATTGAACCACGTAGTTAACGTCGACACAGTCTTAAGATACCCCTGCTTCTTATGGTGCTGATCAGGACGAGGAGGGAAGTAAATAGAGATACAACACACATCCACTGGGCCTTGTTTCACACGCACACCCACCGCCCTGCCTGCAGCTCCCTCAGGTGGTCCCCACAAGCGAACGGGGTCGCCCCCCAGCGACAGGGCCGGCCCCAGCGCCACGGCGACACCGCAGCTGGGGTTGCTGAGCGGCTCCCGAGCGTGGGGAGCCTCCAGCAGCAGGCGGCGGCCAGCACGGCGGCGAAGCACCTGCGCGCCGCGCAGGCGGTCCCCTGCCTGAGTGGCAGCCAGCAGAAGCACATCTATGTTCTCCGTCTCCTGAAGAATATCTTCCATTCTAGTCCCAGTCGCATACATCCGATTATATCCCAAGACGCGAAGAGAAGTGGGAGCAGACATTGCGGCCCGTCGGCACTGGAGGTGGGGCAGGCAAAGGAGAAACAAAACGAGATGGGTGAGTGACATGGCGACCGCCCGAATCTGCAACTCTGAGCCCCTCGGGGCTAGGAGGAGGAGGAGGAGGAGGAGGAGGAGGAGGAGGGGGAGGAGGGGGAGGAGGAGGAGGAGGAGGAGGAGGAGGAGGAGGAGGAGGATGAAGACGAGGAAGAGGATGGGGACGAGGACAACGACGACGACGAAGAAGGCGACGACAAAGAGAAGGGGCCGTGTTGGGAACTCGTGGTACGCCTCTCGGGGGCCTCTGGGAGGCAGTTTTGAAGCCTCTTGGGGGCTGTTTGTGGGCCTCTGGGGATCTTTTTGGGGCCTCTTGGGGACCTCTTGGGGGCTCCTTGGGGCCTCTGGGGAGCCTCTTGGGGCCTCATGGGGCCCTCTTGGGGCCTCTCGGGGCCTTCCCGCGGCGGAAAACTCAGTTTTGAATTTTTGGGCGCCCTCTTGGGCCTCTCTTGGGGCCGTCTTGGTGTTCTCTTGGGCCGCCTTGGGCGCTTCTTGGGCGGTCTCGGAGCCCTCCTGGACCGTGTTGGGGCCTTCTTGGGGGCCTCTTGGGCAGGACTGGGGCGATCTAGGGAGCCTCTTGGGCCGTGTTGGAGCGTGGGGAAGCGGAAAAAGCGAGAAGGCCAAAAACATAGAAAAACACATAGGAAAATCAACCATTTCAGCCTCTCGGGGCTCTCTTGGGAGGCCTCTTGGGGGTCTCTGGGGGCGTCTTGGAGGCCCGTTGGGCAGTCTTGGGCCCATATTGGGCGTCTTGGGCCGATCTTTGGGTGTCTCGGGGCCCTCTTTGGCCGTCGTGGGTTTTTTTTTTTTCGCGTCGGACTCGCAGGACAGACCTGCCTGGGGGGTCCAGGAGGACTGGAGATCCACGGAAGCACTCTGCAGGAGCGCCCCAGGGGCTCGGGGAGGCCGAAATTCGTTTGGGGGGGGTGGGTGGGCACCGTGTGCCGCTTTTGTGGGGTCCCCGGCCTTGTACAAATAGATAAATAGGAATATATATGTGTATATATATATAGATATACACGCACAAGACTGCAGTGGCGCTTCGCGCCATGCACCTTGGTCCTTGAAGTTTGGTATGCAAGCGGACTAACAGGAAGGCCAAAACGACAATTTAACGATAATTCCTTGTTGCCTTTTCCGGCATCGCCGCTATAATAACGTGATTCGTTCTCCTTCCTCCATGTTTCTTTTCCTCAGTTTCGCCATGCCCTGCGCATCCTCCCCACTTCCTCAGGCCGAACCGAGGAAACCCGCGGCCTCCGCCTCCTCCGCGGGAGAGGGCGTGCGAATGGATGCCGCCGCGTCGTTCTCGTCCATCAGCTGAGAGAGCTCCATGTCCAGCTGATCGCGGACAGGGGCGGCAACTGCAGATCCCGAAGACGCCGACGTGGCCTGTCGCTTGGCTGGCGACGGGGAGCTCTCGATGTTGAGCGTGCCAGAGAGAGCCACCAGGTTTCTGAACCTCTTCGTCTCTGGAGACTGATGCTCACGCTTCACGGAAGTCCGCGCGCGCGCGCGGGGGCGGCGGTCGCTTCGGCTCTGGCCCTGAAGGCGTTCTCCACAAAGGCCCGCTCCTTCTGCAGCGGCGCGTCCTTGTTCGGCGGCGGCGTGAGGTCCCCCGCCTTGAACAGGCCCTAGAGTCGCTTGCCCTCCGTCGTCAAGTCTTCGTCCGAGCTGCAGATCGACTTGCGCTGGACGTCGGCCTCATCAGTCCCTGGGGCGCGCCAGTATGCGTGGGTCTTAGTGTTCACGAAGAAGCCACCGCGCTTCATGAATGCCATCACACAAGCGCGAGTAGCCTTCTCGTGGAAGGCTGGCCTGACGAGGTTGAAGAAGTCCTGGAACTTGACGGACGGCCAAGAGTCATGTTTTACTGCCTCAGGGTCGTGCACCTGGTCCGCGATGGCGCGCGGCTCGCCCTTCACCCACCTGGTAGCCCCCCACCGCGCCCAGCGCATGTACTCGAACTGGCCGACGTCCAGCAAGGCCTCGGCCATTTTCGAGGGCAGCTGGTTGAGGGAGCCATCATCCAAGAGGTCGCCCGTGGTGAGAGAACCAGGCTCCCCGCGCAGGAAGTTGATCTCGGGCGTCGCACGGACGCACGCAGAATCGAGGTCTAATTGGTGGATGCGGGCGCTGCGGCGGCAGAGCGCGAAGAGGCACGACCGCCCCAGGGGCGTCTTCCCGAAATTCGGCTCCCCAATGAGCACGAGGGAGCCGAGCGGGTCCATGATTTCTGCTATGACGTCGAGCACCCACGGCTTGAAGTGTTCCTCCGTCCGGGTGATGTGCCACCCGGCCTCCTTCGCGAGCGAGCCCTCCGCCGCGATCCCGCTCAGCGCCTTCGCCGCCAGGGCGACGGGCCAGCCGTGGAGGGGGGCGCCTTTGCGCAGCGCCTTCGTCTGCCATGCCAATTGCCTCAGGTCGGCCGTGGAGCGGGGCGCGTTCTTCGGGATGTAGTCGAAGCCCGCCTTTATGTCTTCGTCTGACATATTGTAGAACTCGTTAACCTTCGTGCTCGTCTTGACGCCTGGCGGCAAGAAAAACGCACGAAACTGCTTCCCGCCGAAGCGCTCGAAAGCGCACTGCCATTCCTTGACCCCCACCTCGCAGCGCGATCGAAAACATGGAACGAGGGCGCGGCGGCGACTGAGCCAGGTTGTTTGTTTTCTGGGCCTGGAAAAACAGCCAAAAAACATGCCGCCGCACCCACGCCATCCTTTTTTTCCGAGCCGTGGACCTTGGGGTGCTGGAAGCAGAGCTTCTTGACGCCCCCGAACGCCATGCTGACAAAGACATTCGTCTTCGCCTTGTTGGGGATGACGCAATGCTTGATCATGGTCTTCGCGCCGTCGGGGGCGTCAATGAATCACGTCTGTAGCGTCATGCGGCTCGGCGGCGCCGTCTTGAACCCGAACGGCAGCGGCAGCTCGTGGTAGTCGTCGTCCTTCCACGCCGCCTTGAATTGCTCGTCCAGCTGGGGGGGGATATGCCCAGTGATGAAGTCAACGTAGTGCACGAGTGGGTTCTCGTTGGCGCCGATGTCGTTTGCGAGCTCAATAAATTGCTCCATCTCGCCATGAGGCAGCACGGCCGTTGCCATTGGTGCAGGCAGAGGGCGGCAGAACCAGCCCTCTGTCGCCGCCTTGAGGTCCTCGTGCGCGGACATGGCGCGGTCTTGAATGACGCTGACGGTTTGCCAGGAGGCGCACGCATGGTGTTGCGACTGGGCCCAAACGGCTACGAGCTGCGAGCCGCGTCAGAACACGCGCGCAACCTAGCGGCTGCCCCGCCAGAGACTCTCGGGGGACCGTAAACTAACTTGGACCCGCCATTCCCTCGCGCAGTTCTGGGGCGAGCGAGCCGCACCCCGCTGGGTCTATCCCTGGGCGAATCTCTCCATCCGCCGATTGGCAAACCTGGGCAGCAGACGATGGGGAAAGAAAGAACAGGAGCATAATGAAGACGGCAATGACGACGAAAACGTTTTCTGGAAGATGGCTTCTGCGGTTGCTTCAATGGTTCCCGTCGCTAGCATAATCGGGGCAGGCAGTGGAGAATCGATATGTAGTTATGATTACGGAGGTGCAGCGTTGGCCGCTGGCTGCCCCCCCGCTGGCCGCCCCCCACTGCAGGCGGCGGCGCGAGCCGCGGGGGCCGAACAGCGGGCAAGCCTGAGGCAGAGCTGGCGCCTGCCCATGCGCAGCTCAGAACGCGGAGCCCATCAAGTCGCGCAGCATCTCGCCCGTGGCCGACCACATGTCGCGTCCGCGATACCAGCACTCCCACTGCGCGGAGCGGATGCGCGCGGCAATCGCCCTGCTGTGTGGCTTATAAGTGCGGGGGCCAATGCGGAGCTTGACGTGCTTCCACGCCCTGTCCATGATCTGCGTGCCCGCTTTCACCTTCAACACCGTGCCGCTCGGGAGCTTGTGCTTCACGATTTTGGAATACACTGGCTTGACCCACGCCAACTTCCCCCCGCGCTTCACGCGCTTCTTGCAGTGCCTGACGGAATCGTGGAACATCCCCGAAGCCTTCATCTTGTAGCTCCTGGCACCGTCCGAGTGGGGAACCACTTTGCGGTCCTTGAGGCGGTCCAAGAGGAAGGGCTTCCAGTCGGTCTTCTTGATGGCGCCTGGGTCAGGCGCCTTCTTCGTCGTGCGGTCCGACTCAGTTCTGAACAGCACCGGCGTTTCTGGCTTGCCCCGCTGCACAACGCCTGCCCACTGCTCCCACCCCTTCATCTCCTTGTCCTCCGTGACCGCAGAAGCGAAGACGGACTCGTCGGCCTCGACGTCAACCCGCGTCTTGCCGTTGCCGCACACGATGCCCTTCTCGTATTTTTTCCACGCACTGCCGGCGAGCCAGGTCAAGGCTGCGGGTCATATCCTCGATCATCTTGTGGTTGGCGCTGTAGTGCTCGTGGATCTGCGCGGTCGTCATCCCCGGGGGGATGCCGAACAGGGCCCTGCATTTGTCCTTCAACGACGACGTCTCCTTCCCCCAGCCACTGGCGAAAATTGGGTGGAAGTGGCGCCTGCTTGCCGCAGTTCCTCCCGTCGTTGCATCGCCACGCACGGCCCGAGCCGCTCTTCCACTCCAATGTGCGCCGCTCGCCGAGGGTGCCCTCGCCGCAAAATGGGCACGTCAGCCCTGACCAATCGAGGAGAAACCCGTCCTTGATCAGGAGGTCCACGAGTTCGCTCTCGTTACCCGTTTTGAAAGAGTCGATGTTGCGACACCACGTGTTGCGCTCCTTCCGCGTCTTCTCGGTGCCGCTGGTGCTGCGAATGTAGGAAACCGTGCCTTTCTCCTCCCCCCCTCTTGCCCTGAGCGCGGGCTATCCCCCTTGGGCTCTGGGAAGGGCTTGAATGCTGCCGCGGGGCGCTTGGCGATGGCGCCCTTCCTCGCGCCGCGAACGGCGGCGGCGGGGCGCTTCGCCGCGCGGGCAACAGAAGCGGCAGGGCGCTGCATAACACAGGGGCACTATGAATGAGTGAACACAAGATTGTGCCCTACTTTGAACCAACATAGCAGCTGCGAGGACACTATCTCTTGTTTTCATTGGTGATAATGTTTCCTGCGTTTTCCTGCTGCCCTCTCCCTGGGTGTCTCCTTGAGTCTCCTCCAGGGCCCCATCGTGGGTTTCCCGTGCGTATCTCTGGCGTTGGCTCCTGTTGCCCCCCTGCGTTCCCCCGCGTCTCCTGCGGGCGTTTCACGACGATGATGATGATTGTTTCTCCAGGCTCCCGCTCGCGGCCGCAGCGCGGGCAAGCTCGCCTACGGCGCGTGTTCTCCCTGTCTTGCCGAGCCGCCGCCGCAGCTCAGGAGCCGTTCGGCGCGGCCGCCGCCTTGCTGAGCTCGAGCTTCAAGCGCTTGTTGGCCTGTCGAAGGCGCAGGGCGTCTTCCTTTAGCTGCTCGCTCTCCCTGCGCAGGAGCTGGTTCTCCAGCTTCAGCTCGTCCAGGAGGTTGTACTCGCTCGGCTGGTCCTCCTTCTGCTCCTGGTTCGCGTCGTTGTTCGAGTCGGAGTTGTCGCTGCCCTCGTCCTTGCCGCTGCTCGAGTCGGAGTCGTCGGGGGGGCGCTCGTCGTTGCCCGCGTCCGCGGCGGGCGCAGCCGGCGCTGGCGGCGCAGGGGGCGCAAGCAGGGGTGGCTGTGCTGCTGGCCCAGCAGGCGGGGCAGGCAAGGCCAGGGCCCCGAGCGACGGCTGCGGGCCGCGGCGCTCCTGCGTCTTCTTGCGCAAAGCCGCGCGCAGCTTCTCCCGGGCCTCGGCGGACCACCCCCCGTTGGCCCCAGTCCGCAAGAAGAGGGTCCGCTGCACGTTGGCAATGCCCACGCTGAATTCTTGCTTGGTCAAAGGCACGCGGGGCGCATGCAGCTGAACGTCCCCCGTCTGGACGCGGCCTAGGGGCTCCTCGTATTTGGGGGGGGTCTCTGCCGTGGGAGGGCGCTCAGCGAACTGAAGATCCAGCCGAGCAACACCCCCAGCGCCGACGCGCGCCACGCCACCCGTGATCGAAAACATCCTGTGGGCAGGGATGGCGTGCAGCGATCTCCGAGGATAAGCTTTTGAGCCAGTTTGCCTACGGAACTGATCTCTCTTCGTTTTTGTTTTTCTTTCTTTCTCTCTCTCTCTCTCTTTTCCTCTTTTGTTTCCCCCCTCTCTCTCTCGCGCTTCCTCTCTCCCGCAGGCTCCAAACTAAAAAAACTAAAATCAGCTGGTGGCCATCTTGGGTCACGCTCGGAGCAGACTGCGGATAAAGTCAGAGAGAGAGGGGGTGGGTAGATGATAAGGGGTGGGAGGGATATGAGGAGAGGGAGGGGATGAGAGATGGGGCGGGATGGATAGAAGGAGGAGGAGGAGGAGGAGGAGGAGGAGGAGGCGGAGGAGGAGGAGGGAGAGAGGGGTGAGGAGAGAGCAAGGGCATCGAAGGGATATCGAATTTGCGATGCTCCTCATGGCTCCATCATGGCTCCCTCGTGAGAAGGAGAAAGAACATGAGGAATAATGATGAGAATGAGGAGGAGAATGAGGACAATCAGAATGAGGAGAATGGGGAGAGAGATGAGGAGGATAATGAGGAGGATGAGGAGAAGGTAAAGAAGATAAGAAAGAGGGGCACATGTATGATGACAGGGGGCGAGCATATACATATATATATATATATATATACACATATATATATACATATATATATATATATATATATATATATACATACATATACATATAAATATATATATATATATTATATATTTATATATATATATATATGTATATATGTATATATATATATATATATATATATATATATATATATATATATATATATCCCCGCGCACGAAGACCGGGGGCACGGGGCCGCGACCTCGACAGCGCATGGGGGGACAGGGGGCCCTGGGGCGACCCCGGGGCGGCCGCCGAGGGCCCAGGGGGCCCCGAGAGGCAAAAACGGCCCCGTTCCCTTAGGAACAATACATGCTTCAAGGGGTCGCCTGTCGACCTTCCATGGGAACGAAGACGGCCCGACAGGCCGCCGGGATCGTCCCAAGACAGCCCCAGATGGTTCCTACACAGCCACAAATGGCCCCCGGCCGGCCCAAGAGGGCCCCAAGACGGCCCCAAAAGACCCCCAGGACGGGCGCCAGAGAGGGACGAGGGGCACACACGCGTCCAAATGTCGCTTGAGGAAGCCGACGATGGCTCCAAGACGGCTACCGGGAGGGGGCCCCCGACGCGCCATGGGAGGACCGGGGCGCCAGGGACGCGCCCAGACCGCCGAAGACAGCCCCAACGCGTATGAAAAGGGCTGTGAGAGGCCCCCAAGAGGCTTATTGTCGCGGAACTATCGTTCTAACGCGCCCAAGATGGCCTCCAGATGGCCCACGGGCCTTCCAACGCGGCCCAAGGGGTCCCCAAGAGCACTCCCAAAATGGCCCCAAGAAGCCAAACTCATTGACTTTCCTGTGGTCCTTGGTGCATTTTAGCGTTTCGGTTTGTTCCGCTTCCCGACGCTCCAAGAAGTCCAGGACACTTAAAAATCGTCCAAACAGGATTCCACGAGGGCGCCGACGCGGCCCAGGGTCGCCCCCAAACGGCCTAAGACAGTCCCAACACATATGAAAAAGGGCCGCGAGAGACCTCCAAGAGGCCCCGAAACGCGGATATATCGCTCGAGCGCGCCCAAGATGGCCTCCAGATTGCCCAAAAGGCTTCCAACACGGCCCGAAGGGTTTCCAAAAGCACTCTTCCAATGGCCCCGAGAAACCCAAATCATTGATTTTCATTGTTTTTGCTGGATTTGAGCATGCTTCTTCCGCGCCCCGACGCTCCATGA